ATTGGCTTGTCCAGGGTCGTGCTGCTAGTAAGTGCTGGAGCTGGAATCTGAACTCAGGTCTTTCCTGACTCCAAGCACAAGTTCCGTGATCTTGCTGCTAGCCTGTTGTACCTCTCTACCTCCCTTCAGCAGAGAAATCAAATGGAGATTGTATGACCACCAGTTAGGGATACCATAGAAGATATTCGTGCACTGTAGAAGAGATTATACTAGATGAGCTCCGAGGTCCCTTTAATCACTAAACTTTGATTCTACGTAGAAAGGCAGCATGTTATAGTGGGGAAAACACCAGACTAGGGGCAGCTAGGTGGCACAGTGAATAGAGCACCAGCCCTAGAATCAGGAGGACCTGAGTTCAAATTTAGCCTCAGACATTTGACATTTACTAGCTGTGTGACCCTGGGCAAGTCACTTAGCCCCAAATGCCTCCCCAAAAAACCAAACAACCAAACAACCAACAAAAACACCAGACTAGGAGTTAGATGACCTGAGTTCTCGTCCTGGCATCAACAGTTACTAGTTTTATGATCTCAAGGCACGTCACTCAGTTCCCTCATCTGTGAAATGGGGATAATGTTACTTGAATCACGTATCTCACAGGGCTGTAGTGAGGGTCACATGAGTTCATGTATTAAAATGCTTTGTAGCCATTTATTTTTAGCTAGATCTGTGATTTTACTGTCATATAGAACTCTTAGTGAAGAAACTCCTATCAGTGCAGACTGGTGCCTTCTGTGCCAATCACTTGTCAGGGCAACTTAGCAAAAATGAGTTGCCTTGTAGTGGGAAGCCATATTTATGGCCAGGGGCTTTATTTTCTAGAGATGATGTTAATTATGCCAGCTCATGTTTGTATTTCACTTTATAGTTTTAAAATCCTTTTTCACAACAGCCCCTGGAGGCAAATAGTATAGATTTATAGGCATTTGTACCTTCAGGTTCTAAAATTTTACTGGAAAACTGTCCTTACTCACACCTCCCCAATACACACACACACACACACACGCACACACACACACAAGCACATCTTTTTAAAAAATTTTTATTTTTTTAACATTAGTTTTTAAAACTTTGAGTTCCAAACTCTCTCCTCCACCACATCTTCCTTTTAAAATAGAAAAATGAGAATATACCTCAGCCATCCTTTATTTCAGAAAATCATGAAGCTTTGGGAACTAACTTTGCCATCCTTAAGTGGGATAAAGGGACTTTAATGCTAAGTCATTTTTTTAGTTGTGTCCCACTCTCCATTACCTATTTGGGGTTTTCTTGGCAGAGATATTGGTTTGCCCTTTCCTTCTCCAGCTCATTTTACAGATGAGGAGACTGAGGCAAACAGGATTAAGTGACTTGCCTAGGGTCACACAGCTAGTAAGTATCTGAGGCTAGATTGGAACTCAGGAAGATCTTGGCTGTAGACCTGTTGCTTTCTATCCACTGTGCCACCTAGCTGCCCAAAGGAGGTATTGACGGTCTAATTATGTGCATTTCTTTAAACTGACTGATGGATCTCAGATAGGACATAGCCAATTTATGCTTCAGGAATCATTGTCATGATACTTATATTAGAGTATTTTTTTCCATATGGAAAATTTTGTTGTATCTGATTATAGAAATTTCAATTAAACATCTGTATTATGAGAGAAATTTAATAGAATATGGATTTTCTCTGCCAAACTTTACCTTCTATGTAACACCCCCCAGAAGAGGTTTCGTCCTTCCTCCTTTGCCCATTCTCTATTTCAAGTCTTCTATGCATTTTCCACATTCTAGTTTGTGTTATAGCTACCTTTTTTTATCTCCCTAAGCTACTGTAAGCTCATTGAGGGCAGGGTTTGCTTATCTCTGGCAGTATCTAGCATAGAATTCTGTACATAGAATATGTTTAATGATCATTTATTAAAGTGAACTAGGTTGCTATGGTCAGAATTTGGCCTTTAAAGAAAATTCATCTGGAATTATTATTAGAGTTTTATCTTCCTTTTCAATGGTCTCTTTTTAGAGACCATTTCTTCAACAAATATTAAGTACTAATAAATTAACTGTGAAGAATACTTAAAAGACCATGTAAAAATCATTCCAATGACATGAAAAAAGTGAGAATGAAGGAATGCTTAGATGGTGCAGTAGAAAGAATACTGAATTTCAATCAAAGGACCTTGGCATGAATCTGGCTCCGCCATTTACTGCTTGTATTGCCTTGGGGAAGTCACCTCTCTTAGTCTTAGTTTCCCCTTCTAAAATGAAGGGTATATATGCTAGATGACCTCTAAAGCTCCTTCTAACCCTCAATCCTGTGAATTCATGATTAAGCTTTTCCTAGTGTGTGTACCAGCAGAGAGCCTTTTGAACAACTGTAAGCTCAGTCTTCTCATTAAACTTCCCCTCAGCCTACTAGACAGATTGCTTAGGCCAGAATCATATTTATTCTGCTCAGCAAATGAGGAAGGAAGTGTGTGACGAAGACTGTCCTACAAGAAACAAGGGGAAGGGGAAACCAGCTCTTACCTTGGGTTACGTGGGTGGTTGTTTACTAGGCGTGCTGCTGTGCATGCAGCTGTGTGCCAGCTAGTATTTGTTGCCCATTTGCAAAGACTAACACATAATGGAATTTTTTTTCATTTTGGTTATAGTCTTTGAGAAGGAAGCATGAGACAGGAACTAATGCTGTATTGGGAAGCATTTCTGTATGTGCCCTTACACAATCAAGACTTTGGATAGGAAAATATCCTGTTGGGTAACAAGAATATCTGCCTGTCTGTCAGGACTCTTTTTTATGTGATAGAGTGGGTATAGAGGAACATAGGAAAATATGGTCATTGTTTTTGATATTAAAATGTGGCTATGTTGAGAATATAAGTGACCTACACAGGATGCAACCATGTGATATGAGCTTACAGTGCTCATTTTTTTCCTCCAGAAGTTAGACTAATTGTCTTTGTTGATATATGTTACAATAGGAAAAAAGTACATTTTGACTCTGTTAAAATTTTCTTTTTAGTACCTCCTAAGCCTGTCCATTTCAGACCACTTGGGCAAGAAAGAGATTTGCAGCGAATACCTCCGGCACCTCGTAGACCTTTGCCGGCTGACCCAAGGCCATCCAGGACCCTGCTGTCTGCAGAAGGAGAAACACAGATTTCACCAGACATCAGCAGCCTGATTGAAAAGTTTGAAAGCATCTGGTAATTCTGTCTTATTGTTTTCCAGGTGCAGGATGAAAGAACTTGAATAAGTGGCTTGACCTCTCTGGATTTAAGCTTTTTCCTCAGTAAAATAAATGGATTAGATTAGAATAAGAGTTCTTAACCTTCTCTATGTCATGAGCTCCTCTGGCAAGCTACTTAAATTGATCCTTTCTTAGATTAAGATTTTTAAATAATTGAAGAAAATGCTAAATATCAATTAGAGGTTAGTGAAAATAAAGGTATGATTTTTTTTTCCGTGTAATACCGTAGACTCTCCAAAATCTATTTATGAATCCCTTCCAGGTTAAGAGCTCCAGGACTAGATGTGTTATAGGAATCCCTTCCAGCTCTGATGGTCTCTGAATCTTTGAATTGCATTTTCAGTAAATAAAACGAATTGGCATCTTTTCTGGTTCATGTAAATATGCTAACCACACAATGGAGCTCCTATGAACTCAGCATCTAAGCTTTAATTTTGACTCCTTCAAAGAAGCATTGTAAAAAATCCAGTTTTACATGTCCAAGCACTTTGAAATTCCCAAATGAGAAGAAATGTAAAAGTGAAAATTACTGTTCTTTAATGTAAAAGATTGAAGTAGCTCTGGACTCTTCCACAATGATTTTTTTTTTTTACCAGATGCATTTCTAGTTTGTTGGGCAGCAGCTGGATTAGTAGACATACCTCACTTAATAGGATATTTTTGTATGTATGTAATAGGATATTCATATATTTGTAGATATATAGGATTTTATATTTACATTATAGTATTTATACATAAAATGGCCTCTATGAACAGAATGAAATGTGTGTTAGAATATTCTCATACATAATATCTGTAGGTAGTATGGTAGAAGGGAAAATATACTAGACCAGGATCCAGTAGACTTGTGTTCTATATCCGTCAATAACCTATTGTGTGACCTTGGGTAGGTGACTTCCTCTCTTTGAGGCTGCTTCCTTGTCTGCAAAATGAGGAAACTATACAATCTCTAAGGTCTCTGCAGGTTGAAAATTCTCTTTGGTGTAGCAGAAAGAACCCTAGATTTTGAATGAGAATTGAGTTTTTATGACATTGGACAATCCCTTACCTTTTCTGGGCCTCAGTTATATCCAGTGTAAAATGAGGATTGGATAAAATGACCTCTAATGTCCTAAGTTCCAGCATTCTGTGATTTTGATTCTGATTCTGATTCAGAACAGAGAAGTGGCCTCGGGGTCTTGTACCTTTGTTTTGTTTTGGATAGGACAGGAAGAAGGGTTGGGATCTATGTCTTCACCTAGCCTGGGGTCTGGTCACTGTTGTTGGTTTTAATCATTAAAGATCTGCATGTTTGGACAGTTCCCTCTTCTTTGCAAATATGTATTCTTCTCCAAGGCAGCCATGTCCTTGAAAGATATGTCATGTTCTCCTTTTGCTCTTGAACACCTTATTGTTTTTTTCTGTGAGCAGGTCCAATACATTAGGCATTTGCCCCTGATTTGTACGGCTTTGTTTTATGTGGGCATGTCTATACTGAGGAGGTATTTGTTAAGCTCATGGTGTTTTGGGTCAAATGCTGTGCCATGCATTCGATGCAGTGTATGGTGAATACCTTAGCTCCTCACAGACTCACCTTTTTCTTTCTCTTTTCATTGCAGGCATCCCATTCCTGTTCTCCAGAGGAGCCAGTCCCATTTACCCTTTAGGATGGAGTCAGGATTGGGCTCATCACCATCCCCCAACACTGCAGACTGCGAGCTGGGCTTTGGCTCTGGAGACTCAAGTGAGAAAAACAAGAGAGACGGAAGCCAGCCATCTGTGCTGGGCCTTGCAGAACCATCCAGTACAGACTTGGGCAAAATAAGAGAACTCCACATAGGGGACAGCAAAGCTTTGATGACTGTTCTTCTGCTAAGCCTAATAAAGAGACCATGGGGAGGGATGGGGCAAAAGCCCCAGCTGTTGAGCAGGGCAGCAATGGGAAAATACCTAACAGAGACAGTGGCATTGACAGCCCTTCCTGTAGTGTAGCAGGAGAGACCTTTCCAACTGACGAAGGAGGAGAGCACAAGAAATACCCCACCCCAGGCCTCCTAGCTGAGATAGAGCCTGAAGGAGAGCGGAATGCGAGCTCACCTGGTGATGCCCAGAAAGAGGTAGCTCAAGAAGCTGACAGTGATGTTGATGAGGGCAGCAGTGAAGAGCCAGAAACAGCAGATATGCCAAAGGGAGAAGACCTAGATGTAGCAAAGGTAAGATGCCCACTTTTCCACATCCATTTGTAGTTTCTTTAGCTTCCCTACCCCCTACTGGGTATCACCAAGGGGATTTTGCCCGGCAAAAGAATCTGTTGTCCTTTTCCCTGTAACTGAATTGTCCTGTACCATTTCTCATATCTGGTCCCTTTAATGTTATTAAATAATTACTCTTTCTTCCCCGAGAATAGAGGGACCAGGAATGTAGATGATAGTATAAAATCCTAAATGAACTCTTTGGAAGACCGTCCAACAGGCTAGAGACTCCTCTCTTAAAATATGACAGCAAGAGTGGAAGTTTAGCATAGTTTATAAAGAGCCAACTTTGCCCCACACATACTGTCTGTGTGACCCTGAAAAAGTCACTAAACCTCTTAATAAACCCAGGCAGCTCTCTAAGACTATAAGTTACAGGGCAGGTGCCAGTGTGCATTGGGAAGAGGAAGTTTCCTCTTTTGAAGGGTCCCTACACCAATGAAATCGCTGGTATGGTCCCCCTCACCCTCCAAATTAGAAACATCTACATTTTGAGTGTCAATGATTTTTTTTCAAATAATATTCTTAATTTGGGGCTCTCATTAAGACCCAATATATTTCCTCCTATGTATTCTAGAAAGGTGTTTTTGTCACAGATAAAGAGGGAATTGGTGGCCTTTTGACCTGTTCAGCACCCAGGACAGGGTTTTGTATTTGATAGGTATTTGTTGAGTTGAATTAAATGGGTCTACTAGTTAAAGTACTTTGAATATCTCTGTCCTACACTTTGAATTTAATCCAGGTCAAAAAACATTTATTTAGCACCTAAAATGTGCCTAGCATTTGAAAAATTTGCTTACTACTCATTGTAGTGTTCTTCTCAGGTGGAGGTTATTGTTTACCATCATCACAGGATCATAGATTCAGAGCTAGAAGGGACAGTAAAGGTCATCTAGTCACCTCCTCCTCATTTTACAGGTGAGGAACCTGAGATACAGAGATTTAAGATTCACTCAAGCTCACACAGGTATTAAATGACAGAGGTGGGATATGAACTCACTTGATTTCATTTCAAATCCAAGGCTCTTTCCGCTACACCACACTCATAACTAAAACATAGATCTAAGTACAAATGTAATTAGTGGTGGACTTGGATTCAGGAGATGGGTTCTTATCAGAACTTTCATTGACTGTGTGATCTTGGTCAAGTCATTTAGCCTTTTGTAGCTTCAGTCCCCTCCCTTGTGATGAAGGAGGAACATTCATGCCCACTTTGGGGCCTGGTGCTGATGGTGATCCTGTCCCTAATGGAGCTAGTCATCATGGTTCTCTCTCCGTCTCTCTCTCTTTCTCTCTCTTTCTCTTTTCCTATCTCCCTCTCTTCTCCTCCCTTTTCCTCTACCTACCATGTGTCTCTTTTTCTCCCTCTCCCTCCCTTCTCCCACTCTCTCCCTGTACTCAGACTCTAGGAGGGGGCTAAAAGGGTCAGAGTGGGGAGCATGACAGCTGGCTATATTCAAGCCGTATTCCAAAATTGCGTTCTGCATTCAAGGTAGGAGACGGTATGATACAGGTGTTTCAGTGGACAGAGTGTTAGACTTGGAGTCAAGAAGACCTAAGTTCAGATCCTCCTTCATTTACTTCCAGGGGTCACTTTGTGACCCTGGGCACCTCACTTAACGTCTCTCAACCTTAATTTCTTTATCTGCAAAATGGTTAACATAATAGCGCCTAAGGTTGTTAGGATCAATTTGAGGTTTATTTTATACATACCTACAGACATTGCTTTTCTTTTTTTTTTCTATTTAATTGATTTATTTTGAATTATCAACAATCACTTCCATAAGCTTTTGAGTTTTAAATTTTTCTCCCCTTCCCTCCCTCCCTCCTTCCCCAAGACGGTGCGCAATCTGATATAGGCTATACAGATATATTCCTATTAAACATATTTTCACATTAGTGATGTTGTAGATAAGAATTAGAACTAATGTGAGGAACCACCAGAAAGAGGAAACAAAATACAACAGAAGAAAAAAACTAGCAAATAGTATGCTTTGGAGGGCTGCTAGGTGGCGCAGTGGATAGAGCACTGGCCCTGAAGTCAGGAAGACCTGAGTTGAAATCTGGCCTCAGACCAAACACTTGACACTAGCTGTGTGACCTGGACAAGTAACTTAACCCCAATTGCCTAAAAAAAAAATTTTTTTTAAAATAGTATGCTTCGATCTGTATTCAAACTCCATAGTTCTTTCTTTGGATATGGATCGCATTTTCCATCTGGAGGCCTTTGGAGATGTCTTAGATTCTTGTATTGCTGAGAAGGGTTAAACCTATCAATATTAGTCATAGCATAACATGGCTGTTATCGTGTGCAACGTTCTGGTTCTGCTCATTTCACTCAGCATCAGACCATACAAGTCTTTCCAGGTTTTTCTGAAGTCTGCCTGTTCCTCATTTCTTATAGCACAATAGTATTCCATTACATTCATATGCCACAACTTATTCAGCCATTCCCCAATTGATGGGGATCCTCTCAATTTCCAATTCTTTGCCACCACTAAAAGAGCTGCTATAAATATTTTTGTACATGTAGGTCCTTTTCCCATTTGTATGATCTCTTTGGGATATAGCCCTAAAAGTGCTATTGCTGGGTCAAAGGGTATGCACATTTTTATAGCCCTTTGGGCATAGTTCCAAATTGCTCTGCAAAATGGTTGGATCATTTTGCAACTCCACCAACAATGCATTAGTGTTCCAGTTTTCCCACATCTTCTCCAACATTTATCATTTATCATTTTCCTGTTTTGTCATGTTGACCAGACATTGTTTTTATATAAGTGCTAGCTATTATTGTTAATGTTAGTATAGGGGAAAGAATACTCACTGGATTTAAAGTTTAAAAAAATCTGGGTTCCAGCCCTAGTTGTGACACTAAGTGTATGACCACGAGCAAGCCAACTAAACTGTCTGAGCCTCAGTTTCTTCATCTGTAAAATGGGAATGGTTATATTACCTATTCCATAGGGCTTTGGGAAAGAAGGGATTTTGTAAACCTTAAAGCTCTGTCAAAATGTGGCCTATTACTCAGTTGGGGATAATGAGCCCTGCCCTGTTCTTCCCTGCCTTGCAGGTTTCTTATGAGGATCAGAGGAGAGAATGTAGTAGGCAATGGTAGGTGACAGTATACTGTCAGTACAAAGGAGTGATGGGAATCATGTCTAGAAACATTTGGAATTCATTTGGAATGGTCTGAGTATGTTGGATAAATCTAAAACCACCTCATCCTCCAAGATTGTACTTTCCTAGAAGGAGCACAAATAAAAGCTGATCAACATTTCTTTCTGCCTCATGGTCACTCACACCATCAAAATAAAAAGACCTACAGTTTTCAAGGACAATACCAAGTTACAGCTGGCATTTTTGAAAGCTGTATGGGCTGGCTGTGAAAGTCTATAAAGACAGCCTTATTGACCTGTTAGTGCAGGAAGAAGTGCTTTCAACAGTTGGTGTTCTGAGGGTGGGCAGTGCTCTGGATAGGCTGCAAGAGTAATAATTACCTTGTAGAGCAATCACTGTTTTGCAGTTTTTCCACATGGAAATCTTTGGATGTATGAGCCAGCCATAGATGTGGCTTTTTCCACTAGTAATCTAGAGAAAAGAACTTCCCTGGTTTTTCCTACAGAGCAACTGAGGAAAGGAAGCATATAATATTGTACTTAATTGAAAACTACTGGGGTACCTGTACTAGCAGGAAGTAATTACCCAGGTTGGAATTCGGCCAGAACATTGGATTATGGGGGGTGAGGACTGATTGTTAATGGATTCATAAGGTTTGGACACTGGATTATCACCATTCCTTAAAAAGAATTTCCTATATGATTGAAATAACACTAAATGTTACTGGGTGGTACAATGGATAGAGCACTGGGCCTGGAGTCAGGAGGACCTGAGTTCAAATGCAGCCTCAGACACTTAACTATGAGACCCTGCACTTAACCCTGTTTGCCTCAGTCTCCTCTGTAAAATGAGCTGGAGAAGGAAATGGCAAACTGCTCTAGTATCTTTGCTAAGAAAATTCCAACTAAGGTCACGAAGAGTCAGATGTGACTGAAAATGACTGAACAACAACAACATTATTTAGGGGCGTCTGGATGGCTTCAGCAATAGGACACCAGTGGGAGCATTTTAAGGAGATTACAAAATTGGGCAGTCTTAGTGACAACTATTTCATGATGGGGTATTTTGAAGGTCTCATTTCATTCTTTAAAAAGTTATAAGTAACTATGTATTTTAGATTTTAGATATGTGCTGTCAAAAGATCGTTTTCATCTTAGGGAAAGAAATGACCTTTCCAGCGCTGTCAAGTCCTCTTTAAAATAATGCTTTTAAATTTTCCTATTGAATCTTAAAATCAAGAATCTTAGATTTGGAAAGGATTGTAGAGGTCATCTTGTCCAACCTCCTATCCCATCTCTCTGTGATGTAGATTCATGTCTGTATGAGTTGGAATGAACCTCCCAGATCGGGCCACCCTTTGGTAAGATAGCTGTAGCTTTTAAGGCAGCTCTTCCCTATACTGAACCAAAATTTATCTTTTTGTAATTTCCACTCATGGTCTAGTTTTGCCCTTTGGAGCTATACAAGTCTTAAATATTCTCTCACCTAAGGCTTCAGATAGTTGAAGAAAACAATCATATCTCCTTTCATCTTCTCTTCTCCACAATAAATATCTCCTTACAACCTGGCATTCAGAACCTTAACTGTCTTAATTGTCCTTCACTGCAAACAATCAAATTTGTAGTATCTTTTAACAAATGGTTCCTAGCAGTGAAAACAGTTCTCAGAATGTGGCTTGATTAGTGCAGAGGACAGTGTAGGTATTACTTTCTGTTTTCTGAATACTTGCTTCTATTTTTGTAATCCTAGATTGTGTTAGCATTTTTTTAGAAGCTGCTTTCACACCATTGTCTCATATTGAGCTTATGATCAATTAAAAGGTCATTGTCATGTTAACTGTTAGC